GCGAAAAACTTGTCCGCTACAACGGACAAATCTATTCGCAATTAGATTAATTTCCAATAGTTCTCACAAACATTTCCAAATTTCCAATAGTTCTCACAAACAATGAAACTTTGAAAATTTTGATAAATGGAGTAAAATCAACCTAATTCGGAAGTTTAAAGAAAAAAAATTGGACAAATTGAGTAGTAAGATTAACCCAATTCATTGTTTTTCTGCAAGTTAATATGCGCTAACATTTTCTTTCAATAAAGGCAAATCAAATATCTCGATTCGATTACACATCGTTTCAGTAGATTTATGCAAATGTAAAATATCCGCCCTCCTTTGTAAAACATGAACTATAATACTTGACAATATTTTTTTGAAAATGATTTTCAATATCTTAAATATCAAATTGACCGCATATATATATAGTCCGGATTAAAAATTCTCACATTCAATCCGCTTCTCTAAAACATTCGCGTTTCTGGCGTTGTTCCTAAGCCGCTACGAGCCATGGATCCATCAGTCATCAGTGTGTTGTAGTATCCATCTTAGTCCCATCTCCAATCCTTGTTCACTTTTTTTTGTATCAACTGGTTTGATTTCTTAATTTTTTACTAGTATCAACTACGTACTGATCCTCCACAATATGTATTAATGTCGACACACATTGATTACTCATCTGATATTACCATGATTCCTAGTCGCATGATGATAAGGCGAAACTATCTCTATATTGCTTGTGCATATGGACATGCATGTGAAGAACACATGTTAATGTTCTCTACCTGATTACAACGTATGGCCACAGATTTTATCTTCATTTCACGCTTTGTAAATTAGTTTTTTTTTGTAATCAGAGCACCATATACAACATATGCCACATACATATATCGAAGCTTAGCCCTTAAGCATTGGTTTCACTTGCCAAATCGTTTTCACTAAATATAGATCTTAATCGATGGAATTATATCAGCAAATAAATCTTCTTTTCACCGAAAATATCCTTTTAAATTTACTTGAAAGTAGTAACTAGTAACCAAAGAAATCAAGTTTTCAAAATCTTAATAATTTTTGCGTATGGTTTTTCTTTTTCACCTTTTACCCACACAGACAGAGTTCTTCATATACTACCATAACACCTTGTCCTTGACACATGAAAATTCCACGTTTTTCTTATTTATCACATGATTTTTGTGTGTTGCTGAGCTTTATTCTATTATATGTAGAGATGAACTTAGGTTTCTTCTTCAATATTCAGAGATTTCTTCAATGTTGTCTCTCAAATTATTTGGAACAACGATCTATAATGACGTGCATTGATTGACCAAATCAACACCAAACTAAACCGAAAATAATCTCCAAATAGACACGAAGTGAATTAGTTATCACATTTAAATGTGATTATCAGTTTGTTATCACAAGTTTCTATTTTCGGATTATAGAGACTGTTTTTTTTTCTTCTTATCTCTTACAGTCTTGTGTAATAAAAAGCTAAAGAAATAACAGCGGAAATTGTCTGTAAGAAACAGTCTTAGAAAAAGACAGTGAGATCTCCACTAAAACCGGGTTTAAAACTCTAAAGCACACAAAACAAAAACCACTTCCCCTATTCATAAGCTAAGATAAATAAATCTCTAATAACAGCTCAAATCACAAATCCATTTCCTAATAATAGATCATGAAAACGCTTGTATTTAAGAAGCTCACAAGCTCTTAAGTTTTGGATAAAAAGCTCTTAAGTTTTTGTTTGAATAGCAAAGCAAAAGACTAATAATCAGAATAAGTAAGTGAAGAAATAACCCAACAAATAATATGGCTGGAGGAGCCTTTGTATCAGAAGGTGGTAGTGGTGGAGGAAGCTATGAAGGTGGAGTCACTGGTTTTGTCATCATCACTTGTGTCGTTGCCGCCATGGGAGGTCTCCTCTTCGGTTACGACCTCGGAATCTCAGGTCTGTAAATTCCACATTCGTCTTCTTCATTTTCTTGGAGTGGACATTTTGGTTTTGATGGCTTAATCTAGTTTTTGAGTAATGACATAATGGGTTTCTTGTTGTCTAGGGGGAGTGACATCAATGGAGGAGTTTCTAAGCAAGTTTTTTCCGGAGGTGGATAGGCAAATGCACAATGCTAAGCGCGAGACTGCTTACTGCAAATTCGATAACCAATTGCTACAATTGTTCACTTCCTCACTCTACCTCGCCGCACTCGTGTCTTCCTTTGCAGCTTCGGCTGTCACAAGGAAGTATGGGCGCAAAATCTCCATGTTTATTGGAGGTCTTGCTTTCCTCATAGGTGCTCTGTTCAATGCGTTTGCCACGAATGTTGCGATGCTCATCATTGGTAGATTGTTGCTCGGTGTTGGTGTTGGGTTTGCTAATCAGGTGAGTCAATATGCTCATGGTTGAATTAAGTCCGGTTTCGGTTTGAATTTGGTTTTTGTATGGCTGATCTTCTGGTCATGGTCATCTTCTTCTTCTTTTTTTCACAGTCTACACCGGTTTACCTTTCCGAGATGGCTCCTGCCAAGATCAGAGGAGCCCTCAACATCGGATTCCAAATGGCGATTACTATCGGAATTCTGATTGCAAACCTAATCAACTACGGAACGTCTAAAATGGCTAGGAATGGTTGGAGAGTGTCTTTGGGTTTAGCTGCTGTTCCCGCGGTTATAATGGTTATTGGATCTTTCGTTTTGCCCGATACACCAAACTCGATGCTCGAGAGAGGCAAGTATGAACAAGCGAGAGAGATGTTGCAGAAGATTCGTGGAGCTGACAATGTAGATGAGGAGTTTCAAGATCTTTGTGATGCTTGTGAAGCTGCTAAAAAAGTGGAGAATCCATGGAAGAACATCTTCCAACAAGCCAAATACAGACCCGCACTTGTTTTCTGTTCCGCGATTCCTTTCTTCCAACAGATTACTGGTATTAATGTGATCATGTTCTACGCTCCTGTTCTCTTTAAGACTCTTGGTTTCGCCGATGATGCATCACTCATCTCTGCGGTTATTACCGGTGTTGTCAATGTTGTCTCTACTCTTGTCTCCATCTACGCGGTTGACAGATACGGAAGAAGGATTCTCTTCCTTGAAGGTGGTATCCAAATGATTGTTTGCCAGGTAAATTAGTTTATTCCCTGCCGCCTCGACAATGCTTAGTTTCAGAGTTCATAATATATACGAAATGATGATTGCGTACCTTAACATATATTGCTTGATGGGTCATTTTGTAGATCGTTGTTGGTACCTTGATCGGTATGAAGTTTGGAACCACGGGATCAGGGACCTTGACGCCCGCAACAGCAGATTGGATCCTTGCTTTCATATGTTTATATGTCGCAGGATTTGCATGGTCATGGGGTCCATTAGGGTGGTTAGTACCAAGTGAGATCTGTCCGTTGGAAATCAGACCTGCGGGACAAGCCATCAACGTCTCTGTCAACATGTTCTTCACTTTCATCATTGGACAGTTCTTCCTCACATTGCTTTGCCACATGAAGTTTGGTCTCTTCTACTTCTTTGGAGGAATGGTTGCGATCATGACCGTCTTCATTTACTTCTTGTTGCCTGAGACAAAAGGGGTTCCTATTGAAGAAATGGGAAGAGTGTGGAAGCAGCATCCGTTCTGGAAACGTTACATCCCAGATGATGCTGTTATTGGAGGAAGTGAAGAGACCTATGTCAAGGAGGTTTAAGAGCAAAGAAAGTTACAGTTTCAAAGTTTCGGCATTGGTTTTGCTTACCCGCCGGTTTTTGGTTGCTTTTTCAAGAGAATAAGCCAACAAGATGTGAAAATCTGCGGCCGAGTGGAGGAGAAGGAGAAGAAGAATGGAAAATGTCGGAAAAAATTCTTTAATGTTGAATTCTTTTACCTGATTAATTCCAATAAATCCAAGCAGAATTTGCTGTTTCGCATCCAGTTGCATTTGTGTTTCAATTCCTTTAACTGCCAAATGAAATTAAAATGCCAAAAAACGAGTTCACCGGGCACAAAACTGCAATGATCAGCCATAATTCCAGAAAACGACCTATGACAACCTAACTAAACGGATACTGAAACAGTAAAGTAAAGGAAAATAATGCTAAAGTATAAGCAAAGAAGCTCAAAATCTTTTCTATTAATAAAATTTGTTGCTAGATTTACACATTCGATAAGAAATGAGTGATCAAGATCATAATCCAAGAGATTTGTTTACATAATAAACAATGTGTTGAGACTGAAGAATACCAGTGGGGGAGAGAGAGAGAGACAATTAAGCAACAGATATTGAGATCAAAAGACCATCAATGTACTCCTTAAGCTTGGCCTTTGTTATAGCACCTTCTCTTCTGCTACCTGGAACTTCCTTCCCGTCCTTGAAGAGGATAAAATGTGGTAAACCATAAACCTTGTAATCTGCTATTAACTTGGGATTCGCATCGTGATCAATCTTTACAATCGTCAATTTGTCACCATATTCCTACGAAGAAGGAAACATTTCAAGTTTCCAAAGGCAAGAAAACTAAACAAAATCTCAAAATATAACATTCAAACAGGAAGAACTCAGAATCGAATACGCCATTTCACTTTATAATCAGTAGCTTATTGTCTACTGTGTTCATTTCTTCAAAATTTCTTAGCATTTAGCTGACATTTTTAGTAGTTATAGAGCTACTGGTATATTGATTTTACGATGCTTGCTCATACATCAAATCTTAAATCCCAATTTTGTGTCATCAAATCATGCACGAAATCTCTGATATACAATTCAACTAATCTCATTCAACGTCTAAATCTCGAGATTCTAGAGCAAAACTGACGAACAATACGAATTCCGTTGATCATCAATCACAGAAAAAAAAAAATTGAGAAGAGAGAGATTCGGTGTATGAAACCTGAGCTAGGGATTCCATAGCTGGATAGATCAATTTGCAGGGACCGCACCAAGTAGCGACGAACTCCACTAAAACCGGTCGATCCGATTCCAGAACCGTACTCGAAAACTCACTCTCTCCGATCTCTTTGATTCCGCCGCATCTTATCGCCGAACCAGAAGCATTGGCTACGAGTTTCCTGGTTCGTCTACCACTGGACCTGAACGAAAGTATGTGGCGATTAGTCTCGAATGAGACGACCTGAGCTGAGCTCAGTGGCTTGACGGACACGACGGAAGACGACGAAACTGAACGAACCGGAGTGAGAGATGATCGGATAAAAATCGTTGAACTCGAGACGATAGAATCCATGGCTTCTTCTTCCTCGTTCTCCTTTTCCTCTGTTAAGTCAGAAGAAACGAAGTTTAACAAACGATTGTGTGGCATAGAAATGAAGACGATGACTTTTTTAAAAGTCCATTAACTTTTCGATTCTCTTAATTTGACCCCGTAACTATAATCAATAGATCAAACAACCTTAATGATTCAAAACTAAACCATTATTGGGCCGAGCCTGAAGCCCATAATTGAAAAAGTCCTCGCCGGAGAAGAAGATTGAGTCGGCGACACATTACAGATTCGCTGAAACG